ACCCTGTATTTATCGTTATAAGCCCTCAGATTTCCTGCTGAGCTACGGGATGGCTTTATAGCACCTATATCAATATTTCTTTATGAATATACTACTTTGATAGTTTTCATAGTAAATTCTTTTCCACAGTCACTAAGTTAGAAGTGATGAATTAAGAGTCTACAACAATATATCACATTAAACGTATTATCTATGTTATAAATGAAGAGAAATGACCATTCAGTGAGTAGTAACAACCATTTTTCCAGAATGATTAAGTAGATTAACGTAATGTTCTTAGGTTTTAATCGAAATAAAAATGAAGCTAACTGATTCTCGAAAATATTTTTACTAAAAAAAAACATATGCTAAAAAATGTGACCATTTCGTAGGAAAACCTAGAAAAACTAATAATTACAGTTTGCACAATAGAACTATTGTTAGTTTTCATGTACAGAATATCTATAGGCACTATAGCGAGGCCAGTTAAGTTGTTAAAGGAAAGGCTTAAGTAGCATTATAATTGTGGGGACGTTATAATGTGACGGTCAATCTCACTATTTATTCGCAAATAGTGGCGGTGGACGGTGTTGACCAACTGCCCTCCCTCTCTCTAATCTACCACTTTAACTTTAGGGAAGACTAGAACTGAAATTCAACAAATGAACAAATAAACTCAATGCTTACTGCACATACAGGGTTATATTTTTGCACTAATTTCTGTCCTTGCTACAGCCGGTTCGGCATCTTTAACAAATACGGTAATTAATATATATATATATATATATTGTTTAATGGTTATCTCATCCCAAAGCCTCTTTCCTCTATGATTCAACAAGGACAATAATTTTACCCCTTCTCGACTACTAATTTCTCTCAATCTAACACGTATACGAATCTCCTTCTATATGAGTTTTAGGACTGTTCAGAAACGCACTAATAGTGGTATTCAAGCATTCGTAGTTAATGTGGCAATACTCCAAATTTCGCCGTAAGTTTGGCCCTATATATAAAATCAGAACAATGTGGCTTTGTCTTTTTAATTTGATATGGGACATTATCGTACATCTGGATTTAGTTTATTCTTATAGTTTGTTTTG